ATTCACTGGGCGATGGGAGTGGCACGGCGCGCTCGAAAAGAAAAACGCTTGGAGAGCCCACAAGCGCTGCAGGATATTTTCCAAGTATTACGAAAGTTGCAGCCAAATAATTTTACGCTGTTTTACCAAAAAGGAGATGCGGGCTTTTGATGTGAATAATGAAAGCGGCTTCTTTGTCAGTCGACAGATATCAAATTCCCAGAATTATTTGGTATAGCTAGAGTAATCTATCAAGACTCGATAAAAATTTTAGGAGAAAAGGAGACTTTATTTGGTTTATAAGGTACAAAAATTCAAGAGAGAGAGGTGAACTGCACTGGGTGGTGATAAAGAGAGTTAAAGAACAAAAAATCCAAAACGGTGGAGAAATTGTACTTATCTGTAAGTGGGTAAGCAGTCAATTTTCAGTAGCGTTCAGCCTCATTTCAGTTGTTTCTTCATTTTAGCTACTTTCTTAGATGAAACCAGTTGTTTTTTCAGTGGGCACAACTATTCCAGGTTGTTCGACTTTGAGCTTCAAACCTCAAATTCGTATGTGCCATATGTTCTCGCTTGCTGATGGGGAATTTGCTCAAATTTCTCAAACTTTTATGCTTGAACTAATCTCCTAACTGTTTGTCTGGCGAGCGTCCCTTCGAGCACATTCCTGCTCTGAATGAAGCGTACACACCAGAACAGTAGCAGAGGCCGTCTTACGCACTATGTTTTGTGCTTTGCAGAGAATAATGGACTTTCGAGAGAGGTTGGCTAAGCTGATCACCTACGACTGGGTGCCGATTCCCCTCGTTTATTCACAAGTGATGAGCTTAACTGTTCGCTTGTATTTTTTTCTTGCATTGATGGGACATCAAAATATAGCGCCGACACCGGACGCAAGCTACGTTGATACGGTTCGTCTTCAGCATTTCTGTGCAGTCGCAAGCTTTTCTTGAAATGCCGCTTCGGTGAATTGTTAATATTCGGTTTTGTGTTCCTGGTCAGCGTATGCTTCCGCATGACTGCTACGCAGCATGTGCTTTTTACGCATGTGGGTTGTATTACTCTTGCATGATTGTTATCTAATTACTGCGTAGCTGCGCGAAGCCGTATATCATTCGTGTGGTAGCTCACGAAGAGATTTTTTT